CTGGCCTCGAACTTGCAACGATCCTCCTGCCTCAGCCTCCCGAGTGCTGGGATTACAGGCATGCACCACCACTCCCGGCCATCCTAGGCTGGTTTTGATCCTCCAGCCTCAGCCTCCTACAGCTGTCCAGACATCTAAAAATGCCACCCTAAGTGGGCTGGGTCAAGGCTATGGTCTCATCAGCAGGGGGCACACCAGTCTTCTGCTGTCTCCTTTCTCTGCACCATGTATCTATTAATGCAGCCTGTGACAGCTCTGACTTTTTGGCCCCTTACTATGGCTGGTTCCCACTCAGCCCGCACCCCCTACCCCCAAATTCAGTCTTGGTTCATGCAGGCTGCCGATGTAAATAACAGCAGTTGTTGTTTTGGAACCTAAGTAAAATGTCATTCCTGGAGGTAGAGGATGCCCTGCTGCTGAGTGTACAGCCCTCTAGGGGACACTGGTTGGTATGGGTGGCTGCTGGAGATGAGTTCTGGGGTCCCTTCCAAAACTAGTAGTCAGTACCAACAGCCCAGAGAATTATCCTTTGCTGCAGGTAGATGGAGGGGAAATCAGCGAGCACAGGGCATGGAAAGGGTCCCCAGCTGGGAGGCCCAAGGTCAGGCCACCCAAGGGACCTGGAGCCAGCTCTGGCAGCTCCTAGCAGCCTAGGGTCCTGCTGTGGCCCTGGCTGTGCCATTAGAGGTGATGATCACATGCCCAGCACTGTGTGTGAGCTTACGCCCTGTCTCACACCAGTCTCATTCCACTCCCCTGTGATCCCAGGAAACTGAGGCTCAGCAGGGGTGACGCGTGCCCAAGACCACCCACCTAGGTATGGGGCAGAGCCATAGAAGAAAAAAGGTCTCTGAATCCAGGGCTGGCTGTGCTCTTAACCATGGCCCCACAGATATGGAAAATTTGGGGGGAGCCCTTGTCCCTCGCCAAACTTAAAGAGTAAGGGTGCCGTGGCCTCCTGGCCCAGCACCTGAGCTGGTCCCACACAGCTATCCCCGCATCAGGACAGGCAGGCCGTAGGGTCATCCCTGTGGCCCTTGCCAAGGGACCTCTTTTCTTATCTGGAATGTATGGGCGAAGCTGGACATAAGAGCCAAGTCACCACTGGTTGGCGATGCAGGGGGGGGGCGGTTTGAGGACACCCAGGAGGGCTCTGGCAGGGTTGTGGGAGGGCTCTGAGGGCGGCCAAATAAAACCCCTCACCCAGGAGCCCATTCCCTCCTTGTGGCTCCCAGGGAAGAGACTGTGTGCAGAGGCGGGCTGGTGCCTCAGAAGGGTTCCACTGCCAGCCAGGTGGGCAGCACAGCGCCGGCCCAGGTGAGCGCCGACTTACTCGGGTAGCGGTAGTAGAACTCGTTCTCCAGGTCGCTGGAGATGTTCTTGCGCTTTTTCTCTTCTCTCCAGCTGGCATCGGCGTCGGGGTGGTAGCGCACGAACACGCCGAAGAGGACCACCATGGTCACCTGCAGCAGCAGGCAGATGAGCGGCAGCCGCCAGCGAAGGTTGGTGTTCCGGGCCATGCTGCGGGCGCACAGGCAGCGCGGGCAGACAGCGAGGCTTATAGGAGCCGGGGCGGGGCGGCCGCTGGGGGCCGCGGGACAGGTGACCGGCGCCGCCCGCGCGCACAACGGGCCACTGGTCGAGCTGAGCCGAATGAGCCGAAGGCCCGCAGCTCCCGCAGGGCGAGGGCAGCACGCGAACCCGCGGGAAAGGCGGCGGGCAGCGAGCCCATTCCCTGGGGGTTCTCTGGGAATACCTGCCCCCTTTCCCTTAAGTTCCGGGAAACTGAGAAAGAAAGGGGTTTGGGGGTGTCTAAGGGCATCTGTGGGCTCCCACCGAGATCTGATGAAAGAAATTCCCAGGCATGAATCATCATGATCATCGTCTGTTTCAGAGTATCCAATTCCCACAGGACACAGGGACCTAAGTCGGGAGTTTAGTTCACAGTGACAACTCATATCCGTTTCTCAGGTGGGAAAAATGTACCCTGGTTGAGTAAAATGCCGGTAACAGGGCAAAGTGGGTAAAGAGGGTACTGAAACACTCTGTGCCATCCCTGCAACTTTTCTGTAAGTCTAAAACTATTCCAAAACAAAAAGGATGTTAAGGGGAAAAAGTCTATAAAGGATCTTAAGGACAATTTCAGTTTATCACATGTTCATTAACTATGGTTAGAAATTATCTTTAGGTTAATATGTGAATTAACCACAAATTTAAGTTAAATCTATGCCTACTCTATTTTGTCAAAATAAGTTTGATTTTCTAACTTTTCTTATATTGTAGAGATTTTGGGAAAATACAGAGATGCACAAAGAAGGAAGTAAAATCCAACTGTAATCCCACCACCCAGAAGGAACACTGATATTTTGGGGTCTGTATAGTCTTTTTGGCTTGTTAGGGGTAGCGAGAACTGGGGGGGGGGTGAGGGCTTTGATCTGTAATATTGATTCATAGCCTGTTTCACTCAATATTTGTAAACATCTCCCTGTATTACTTTTCTACAAAAACATTTTTTTACAGCAGGATACCATACTTTATCTAGTCATGCCCCTAGTGTTAGACAATGTTTTTTTTTTTTATTTGTTTGGTATTATAAATAATGCTGTCATAACATACAGGTGCAAAAGTCTTCGCCTGTGTTTCCATGAATTCCTAGAGGCAGGATTGTTTTGGGATTCAGGGGGCTGCAGCTAGAGGAGGCAGGACCGATGAGATGACCCTGGGCCCTTTATCCACTTTCTTCTACTCCCACATGGAAAGATTTCCCCCTACCCTAGAAAGCTTTTACCCAGCAAAGCACACATCCACGATCAGGGCTAAGGGGTCTCTCCCAGGAATCCTCACCAGTTTTGGGCTTAACATCTTTGCCAATTGAATTTCAGATTTGTAAAAGCCACTAATGCCATGTGTAACACCTGAGGCTGAGCACCAAGTCAGGGTGGCTCCACTGTGCTGGTTTGGGGCACCAGCATGTCCCACCATCTTGGCAGAGAAGCATCCAGCCAGTTGTGGTGGCACACATCTGCCATCCCAATACTCAGGAGGCTGAGGCAGGAGGATCACCATGAGTTCGAGGCCACCCTGGGCTACATAGTGACAGACTAGGCTAGGTAGGGAGACCCTGTCGCAAGACAGGGCCAGATACCACAGCAGCATTCCCAGCAATAGGGGCCATTCGTTAGGTGCCTGTGGTGGACAGACTCTTTCGATGTATTCTTTGTTTCTCAACTAAACACAGATGGAGATTGTAGCTACATCCTGCAGATGCAAAAACAGAGCCCTCAGCTGATCCCAGGAACTTACCAAGATTCAGACCCTGGGCTGTCTGATTTCAAAGGCTGTCGTCTTTCCAACATCCCAGTCCAACCAGGACTAGAGGAGGTTTGAATTCAAATGTGTACCTTGTCTATTGGGGGCAGACATCTAAGTGTATGGCCATGGGAGTCCGTGGAGGGTAGGAACACGGAGCTGGGTGGGGGAGGCCGCTGCATGTAGATCCATGGGCCTCTGCATCCCACTGAGTTACAGGACATTTATGGGGGAGGGAGGCTGCAATGGCACAGTCCCTGAGACCTGGTCTGGGAGGGGAGGTGACCACCTTAGGGACAGGAAGAGAGAAGTCAAGCTCCTTGGAAGAGCACCAGGCCAGCCCAGCAGGCCACCCACCTCAGGCGAGCCCCAAGTGTGTTCTGATGGGGTGCAGGAGGCTGCAGCAGGGGAGGCAGGGCTGAGGGGATGGCCCTGGGCCCTTCTCCACTTTCTCCCGCCCCAATCTCTACATCCCTCATCCCTCTTTCCTCCCAGCACGATTGCCCTGCCCTTGCCTTCCCTGTTTATCTGTCCAGGATCTTCTTCCTACACCACAAGTTCAGCCCCAAAGAGCGAGAGCAATGAGAAGAGAACCTAGCTTAAGAGAGTTGCTTATTCATTATTTTTACAAATGAAGGGGTGAATGCTTCCTATTTATCTTGCTAATCCAACCATGCACAGCTCAGTATGAGGAGTAAATAGCTGTACAAAGACGCCCTGCCCCTGCACTGTGGATACTTCAGAAGAGGAAGCCAAGGTAGCTAAGCAGAAGGAGCCTTTTCCTGCGGAGTTGAGGGAAGCTTGTTGAGCCCTGGGGTGATCAGGGTGGGCTTCAGGAAAGAAGTCAATTTTCATGTAGGATTTGGAGGGTGGGTAAGAGGTCAGCTTTTTCCCTCTCTGCCCTTGGATTTTCTTGTCCCATGCAGGTGATTCTAGGCCTCCTCCCACATTTCCACCATGGCTTAATACTAGACAAACAGAAACTTGGGGTTGATCTTTGAGACCCAGGTTTAAGATATCCACTGCTTGAGCCCATCAGACCCAGCCAGGATTTACCTTAGGAGCCAGAAACTTCCTCCTAAAATTCAGATTCCTTGATGAGCAGGAATGACTAGACAGGATGGGTCTTGCCGCAGCCAGGGTGAGGCCGGGGCGTAGCAGCCGTGACGGTTGCCAGAGGGAAGACAGAGTCAGGGTGCACAGGTCCTAGTCTCCCTGCGGCAGGTATGGCTGTGTGTGTGTGTGTGTGTGTGTGTGTGTGTGTGTGTTGCAACTGATCTGGACACACAGCCTCTCTGGATCTTATTTCCTCTTCCTGCAGTTGGGCCCCCTGCACAACAGCTCTGCACAGCTTCCTGGTTTGCTGTGGCCCTCAAAGGAGGCCACATTGCATGGTGATGAGCACTTGATTCAGAGGTTAATGGGGCCCTGGTGGAAGTCCCAGCCCTGTTACTTCCTGCTGAGCAACCTCAGGCAAGCTGCTGCGTCTTTCTGGATGTCTCTTTCCCCATCCATACAATGAGGGTGGCAGTAGTCTGTGATGGCTCTGGTGTATGCATGCTTTCTTCTGTTTTATCTTGTCCCCCTCCATACTGGATATTGAACCCTTTTCCCTGAGCTATATCCCCAGCCTTTATTTTTTTCTGTTTTGAGACAAGGTTTGACTGAGTCACTAAGTTTCCCAGGCTGGGCTCAAACTTGATGATGCTCCTGCGTCAGCCTTCCAGGGTTCTAGGATCATGGGAATACATCACTACGACCAGCTGCATTTTTTTTTCAGACAGGGTCTCGCTCTGTAGCCCAGGCTGGCCTTGAACTCACAGCAATCCTCTGCTTCAGCCTCCCAAGTGCTGGGATTACAGGTGTGCAGCACCACACCTGTCGAGATGCTTTTAACAGAGCCTGGCATTCGGTACTCCATGAAACAGCCACTCTTACTTATGTGTGACTAGGGGGCAGCAGGACTGGGGAGACTTTGGCCATCTTATCACTTGGAGTCCCTCAAAGACAAGCGGGCTACCTGCCTAACCCATGGGAGTCTCCAGCGTGGGTGGCCTGGGTGTCAAGTGGAGAGGGGTCAGCCTCTGCCAAGCTCTCTCCTCCAGGACACCTGGTGGGATCAGGGATCCCAGCAGCAGGAAACTGTACTCACTGTATCCAGAAGGACACAGCACCCCTCCCGTGCTCTTCCTGCCACCCTCCAGATGGAACCGAGCAGAAGGGGACTCAGCAGACCAACTCCAGTTAAAGGACCAGCTCCAAAACAATGAGTCTGGATTCCTAGGAAAACAGAGGCATCCAGGAGGAAAAACGTCCTAGGTTAAAGAGACGTAACAAGTACATGAAATGCTTTGCTTCATCTTGATGTGCTACTAGATCAAAACAAGATGCTATAAAAAGTATTGTCAGAGCAATGGGGGAAAATGAAATTAGAATATGTATTCAACTTTATTAATGTAAAGGTTTTGTAAGTGTTGTATATTCACAGTAGCCAAAGGGGGGAAGCAAGCCAAAAGGCCACGGGTGAACAAAAAGAATTTGTAACAAAAACGTTTGCATACACAGAACGGACTATGACTCCTTAAAAATGAAGGAAATCCCGAAATATGACACAAGAAGGGTGAACTTCAAAGACATCATGCTCAATGAAGTAAGGTGGCCACAAAAGGACATATAGTGTCTGACAATTCCATTGTCTGGGGCACCCGGAGTAATTGTATTTATGGAGACAGAAAGTATAATGCTGGTTGCCAGGGGCTGGGGAGGAGTCCTGCTGGATGTGCAGTCTCAGTGTTGCAAGGTAAGAAAGTCCTGGAGATGAGTATGCTGACAGCTATACAGTGTACTTAATGCCACTTCACTTAACATGATTAAAATAGTAAACTTTATGTCATGTATTCTTTGTTTTTGGTACCGGGAATCAGATTCAGGGCCTTGCACTTGCCGCAGGTGCTTGTACCACTGAGCTATACCCCCGGCCCTATGTCATGTATTCTTTTATTTTTTTTTTTTAATGAAGTAATAAAACTTATGACAATTAAAAATAAAAACTCAAGGGAAAAAAATCTGTGGGAACATACTCAAAGTGTTATTAAGATTAGCATCAAGAGCCAAAAGGGCATGGTGTCTCATGCCTGTTGAGAGGCTGAGTCAGGAGGATCGATGCAAGTTCAAGACCAGCCTGGGCTATAAAGTGAGCTAAAGACCAGCCTGAACTGCATAGCGAGGCCCTGTCTCAAAAAGACAAAAAAAAAAAAGAAAGATTAGCATCAAGATGTGTGTGGTGGCATATGCCTGTAATCCCAGCTACTCAGAAGGCTGAGGCAGGAGGGTGGCAAGTTTAAGATCAGCCTGGGCAATTTAGGGAGAACTTGATCAAAATAAAAAATAAAAAGGGGCCTGGAGTGTCGCTCAATGGTGAAACATATATGCAGCATTGCACAAGGCCCTGGATTGGATTCTTAGTTCTAGGGAAAAAATAGCATCAAGTGCAGTGAGGAGCAAGTGGGTAGGGAACAGAAGTAGGAGGGGGGCTTCACTGTGTTCCTTTTAATGTTTTTTTCAATGATTGTATTGCCTACTCAAATACCAAAAAATATAATAAAATTTTAAAAATAGCTCTTCCTGGTATTGAACCAAAAATCTATCCTAGAACCACGTCAAGCCCCTCAATCTTCCAGTAAGTGCCATAAGACAATCTCTTGCTCCTCTGAGCTTCCTCCTCAGCTTTATTCCTTCCTCTCAGCACTGGGGACACTGACTATCGCACCTGGGGTATCTGTGGCCTGGGACTGTCTACCTCTCCGACCTCCGAAGGGGACACCTCCCCCCACCCACCCACCCTCACTCCCAACCCCTCACCCTTACTCACAGGGCAGTCTGCAGGACACCTGGGCTGCCCACTAGGGAAGCAAGAGGTCCCCATTGGCTCTACCCCCTGTTCACAATGGCCCAATCAGGAGGCAGCACGTGGCTCAACCAATGGACTCCCTCTTCCTTCCAGCTGCTGTCTAAGCAGTGTTGAAAAAGAGTTAGTTGGTGCTTGCGGAAGGCATTTAACCCAGCACCACCCAGTTTGGTGGCCCAAACTCTTTGAGCTGGACAGTTAAGGACAGTTTCTCCTTCATGCGGGTACTTGCTGCCCAGTCTTTCTTGGTTCTGGTCCATTTCCCAGTTCTGGCCTCCCAGCCTCCATCAGCTCTGTGTACTGAAGGCCTTCCAAGCCAAGCGTGCTGATGCTTGCCTGTAATGGCAGCACTTTGGGAAGCTGAAGCAAGAAGAGCACAAGTTCAAACGCAGGCCGAGTAACTTAGCAACTTTGTGAGATTGTCTGAAAATAAAAATTAATGTTTTTTTGAAGGGTTGGGGATGTACCTCAGTGCAAGGGCCCTGGGTTCCACCCCCATACTTCAGGGGTGGGTAGGAGTGGAGTGAGTCTTCCAGTAAGTTGCCTTTGCTTACAGTAAACCCAAAACAGGTCCCATAGCTCATGAGCAAGAATCCCAACTGCTAGAAGCCCCAGTTTACAAAAAAAAAAAAAGAACTAGGAGATGTGGCAGAGTGTATTCCACAGGGCTTTCTCCATTCTATAGGCTGGTCAACAATATCCTTCCAAGGAGAGGTGGGGTCTGTGTCCCCTCTTCCTGAATCTGGGCTAAGTCCAAATAAAGCATGGCTGGGATGACAGCCTGTGATCTCCGCAGACATAGGAAGCCATGCGGCTTTTGCCTGGTGCCCGTGAGATGCTTGCTGTGGAAGAAGGTCGGGGCAACAATCTCTAATGAGCTCCAGCTGTGTGAGTCACCTCGCACACCAGCCTAGTCCGGCCTTCACGTGGTGACAGCCCCATCAGACATCTGACTGCAGCTGCACTGATCCTCTGGTAAACTGCTCAGAGCCACTATGCAATTGCTTTAAGCCACTGGGCGTGGGGATCATTTGTTATGCAGCAGTAGAAGATAGGAAATAACTTTCTGACTACTCCTCGCTGCCATGAGGTGAGCACTTTCCTCCACCGCACCCTCCCACCAGATGTCTCTGCCTCACTTCGGCCAAAAAGCTATGGAGCCACTGAGCAGGGACCAGAGCCACTGATACCACTGCAGACCCTGCCAGCTTCCGTGACCAGCAGCAAGCCAGGAAAGGAGGGAAAGGAGCCGGCACAGGAGCTCCTGGAAGGTGTCTGCCTACTCCTGGAAAAGACATGGATATTCCTCCCTCTTATTAGCCTGTCTCCCTCCCTCATTATTCCTATCTTCTGCCAGTGTCCTACAGTGCAGCAGTTGATTTGTGAGTAAAAACCCCTTTTCTCCATTCTTTGGCCAATGAATAAGACAGAAAGAAGAAAAAAAGGAAAAAACCCTAGAAAGTATAAAACTCAGGGGCTGGGGATTTAGCTCAGCGGCAAAAGCGCCTGCCTGGCAAGCGCAAGGTCGTGAGTTCGGTTCCCAGTACCGGAGAAAAACCAAAAAAAAAAAAAAAAAAAAAAACTCGTTTGCTTGCTTTCTTGTCTTGCTCCACAGAAAACTATATCCTTAACATTCAGAAAGATAACAGAATGAAAGGTAAGGAAACCTACATTTACTGAGCCCCATCATGGGACAGATCTTTTTCATGTGACACCTTGAAGAATCTGTGAGTTAGGGACAATGCTTCCTTTCTCAAAACAGAACATTGGGGTTTGGAGGAGACAAGCCTGCTGGTAGTCAAGTTTTAGATCACAGAGCTGATGTTCTCCCTGCTGGAGCAAAACAACCAAAAGAAAAATGAAAGAGTTGCTCAAGGCCAGCCTGAATTGCATGCCAAGACCCTGTCTCAAAAAGACAAAAAACAACAACAACAACAACAACAACAAAAACAAACTAAAGGGTCAAAAGTTAGGGAAGGCTGGGCACAGTGGTGCTTTGGGAGGCTGAGGCAGGAGGATTGCAAGTTCAAACCCAGCCTGAGCAATTTAGAGACTTAATGAGATCTTGTCTCAAAATAAAAAGAGTTGAGGATATAACTCAGTACAAAGGCCCTTGGTTCAATTCCCAGTAACACCACACACACACACACACACACACACACACACACACATACACACACACAAGTTAGAGAAGGAAGTTGAGCGTAACAACACACTTTAGCTAGGAGAAAGATGCCAGAGTTCTGTGACCACTTTAAAGGAATTAAAGTGTCCCCGGTACCGGAGAAAAACCAAAAAAAAAAAAAAAAAAGGAATTAAAGTGTCCATATTGCTTAATCCCACACATTAGTCAAATGACAGGTGAAAGATGCCATTCACAAGCCGAGCTGAGTGGTGAGAGTGCTCCTAGAACCTTGCAGCATACAGTGGTACAAAGGAGACTTCTGGAGCCCTCATGCATGCATGTCACCGCCTCTGGAGCTCAAAGGGCAGTGACACCTTGCTGAGCTCCTGCAGGAGCCAGGCATTTTCATGTACAGCATCCCTAATCCTGTGAGACTGGCATCATTATCCCTTGTGACAGCTGGGAAAACAGTCATAGGTTTTACATATTTGGGCCAAATGTTACACAACTAGGAAGTGCAGGCCAAACAAAGGTCCCCATAAAACAAGGCGTCAGGGGTGGAGGAGGGTTGTCAGC